TTCTTGCTTGCTCTCCGAATCTCCAAGTTCCTTTACGGCGGGAATGGGAGGGAGAGAGAGAGAGAGAGAAAGTGTCTATGTATAAATGGGTAGGGGAGAGGAAATGAGTAAATGGATCAAATGGTGAAAAGGGTGAAAATAGGTAAAGTCGAGGTAAGGCGAGCAGCCGGACAGGCAGACAGGCAGACAGGCAGACAATGCAGGGTAGTGAATGGGTAAGATGGATCGATGGATACGGACGGTGGCGTATCAAGCAAAGAAAAAAAGTATAAACCTCTAGCGGTAGATACCCCGATGGTCTGTACTTGGTACCTAAAGTACGGACGACTGCGTACCAACAAGTGCCTAGATGGGTAGGTTGGTAGGTATACATACAGAGTAGAGTTACAGAGTACAGAGGAGAGAGTACAGACACTGAATACCTGAGACACAGGAGAATGTCTACAACTTACAAGATGCAGCTGAGGTACTCTGCTACTCAGAGGTGTATAGGTACTCGGTAATTACTCACTTCAGTACTCGGTACAAGGACTGACTGAATGGCTTATTTTTTCACGAGTAAAGATTCGGCCGAACAACTCAAAAGTTAACGGAGGGTGGAATAAGCCACTCCCAAAGGACCGGTACCACCAGTGAGGTTGAGACCTCGGGACCTCGAGTAAGCCAACTCTCGTCTCCAGGCGGCCCACCCCCAAGGGTTTTGCCCAAGTGGCCAATCACTCACGACACTGTCGAATGTGCTGAATAATCAACATTTTGGGCGAAAAATACTAGTCCCTGACTGCCGCACGTGATACCTGGAGCACAATATGCCAAGACACGGAGCAAAAGAAAAGTGGGATGAAATGATTTGGATGACGGATAATACTCACTCCTCATTCGTCTGCTACTTGTTAGCTAGACAGGTAGTAAAGAACGACGTCATTTCAGCAATATTATTTTTTTTCTTTGGGGTATCTTGCTTCCATCTGTGGTAACCAATGCACAACCCTGCCTTGATCATGCCAATTCTTTTCCCAAGTCGTATCTCTGTAAAATTGCAATGTCTCACTCAGGCAGGTTACGCTCTCATTTTGCTCGGTGAGTAATTTTGTGTCAAAAACAAAATACTCCCTCCCTCAACATTCAAAACCATCAATGCATCATGCGTCAGATGATATATGGGAATCCAGCGCAACTAAACTCCCGAGGAATGCACTTTTCCCTTATAATCAAACCTCATTTTGGGTGTGCCATACCCTACCATGCAAAAGTCCCTCAATTGCGCGAGCCGGTAACCTGAGACAAGAACCCATTCATTATCGTCGTCATGCTCAGAGACGCCTCCGACTTATCCCAGCGCATCATCCATCTTTTCCTGTTTCATGATCCACCTGAGCACCGTTCCCGTGGTCATCGCGAATATACCCCATAAACACTCTGCCACTGGACCAACTCTCTCGTCAACGTCTCCATCATGTCCACACTGCCCATGGTCGCAAACTCCTTCTCGTCCATCATCGATACCGTGTTGTCGTCGTCTTTCTCCTTTACGTCATTCAGCCCAGCCTCAACCGCACGCACCAGACTGGCCGTTGGCAACGTGCTCCCTGTCGTGCTCGAAGTGCTGGACGTTTTGCTTACGCCATTCGGAGTCGTGGAGCCCTTGGAGCTCCCGCCACTGCCACCGTTCACCTGCATCGCTGCTTGTGCCTGCGTTGTTCGCTCTGTCTGCATTCGCCCAACAAATTCCAGGATTGCTGCTACTCGTCTCTTCATCTCGTTGAGACTCGTTCTCGCCGGGTGTGTCTTGGCCTTTGAACTGCGTCCGCTTTCGCCATTGATGCAGTGAACAGCGCCGACTCCACCTGCACTCCCTTTTCTGTCGACGCCGGACGGCGAACCCCCATTTTTGTTGTCATGGCCATTGATGTCATGGGATCCATCCCGCAGAGATGCATTGTCCCCGTCTTCTCCGTTCTGGTCACGCGTATATTGATTTCTGCCCAATCTCCCTCGCCGTGCAGCTGTTCTTCCGCCAGGTTTACGGCTATTGGTATGGTTCGACCGACCAGATGGGGGGGAATCTGCTTTTGTTTTGCCATTGGGTTGTCCACCTTTGGAAGGAGAGAGGCTCGGTGTGGGAGGAGGTGAGTCTGCTCCGTTGGTTAGTATCTTTGATTTTAGGCAGCATATATAACTCACCATCTGCCCTTCTTCGTTCGGACCGGGCATTGCGTTTGCTTGCCGCCTCAGCACGCTGGGCAGCTTGCTGTTCCTTTGCTTTGTCTCGAAGTTCCTTTTCACGGTTGTTTCGAGCCGCTGCTCCCCTCAATTTTTGGGACGCATTTCGACCGTTGGTTGTTGATCTGTTTGTTGGATCATCCACTGCTCCATCAGGCGATTCACTGCGCTTGGAAACCGTTCCTGAGGAGTTGGATCCCGTGCGTTGTCGCTTGGATGTACCCTTTTGTCTACCCCCGAGTCAGCACTGGTAAATATTTGATATCAAACGAGCCTTACTCTTCTGATTCGTCTCTTGTGCGTTTCCCGAGAGTGCCCATTTCTTTGCTCTCCTCGATGGCCCTCCTCAACATCTCATCCTCGTCGTAGGCCCCCCTACTGTTGAAGGTGGCTCTCCTCTTGGTGCTTTCGGACTGTTTGTTCTTGTTCTCTTTCTTGCGGCCCGATTCTGGATTTGAAGATAAAGGAGAGGATCGACTGGAATTGGACTCCAAAACAGGGAGGTAACGTGAAGATTTTGGTCTGTTTGAAGGCAATCTGTCAGTCTTGTTCTGCACAAAGATGGGCACAAAAGGTGATAACACATATTCACCACTAAACTGGACAAGAGTGTTCACGAAGGCAGTTGTGTATAGATAGATGCAGAGTACGGGATTGATAGGGACAAGCTTACCCATTTGCAGCCTTTGTGATCTTGTGAAATTCTGGTTTGCACAGCTCGCAGTAGTATTCATCTGGGAGCATCGACTCGTCCAATAGACCCATGCAGCCACCGTGTTGCCAGACACCGCAGTTGTCACACTGGACGAAAAAATTACCCGTGTCGTCGGTTATGCCGTCGATAGCTGGTTGCTGTTGTCGCACTGTAGGGGAAGGACCAGGATACTCAACTAGCCCACAGATACAGCGAGTGACTTCCTCATCTGTGGGTTCAGCGTCATTTTCCTCATCATCGTTCTGTTGTTTTACTATTTGTTCTTTGTCATCTCCATTTCGGCGACTGCGACGCGGTGCGAGCTGCTCGGCTCGAGAGGACGAGTCTGCGCCATCAGCAGATTCGGATCGTTGGGTGGAGGGTCTGTGAGGAGAGGTTGTACGGATGTTGGCACGGGTATCTCGATCGGATTTGGAGTTGATCGAGGTGGTGGAGTTTGTGTGGTTGGGACCAGGAGGGGGTTGCTGCGATGAGCGAGCACGGGATGACCGACGAGGGCTCATTTTAGGGGTTTCTTGCCGTGTCTACCTTTCTAGAGACAAGTGTCAGTGTCGTCGCAGGTCAGAGGATGTGGGAGATGTCGTACGGCTGCAGGAAGAGGAATGGTCGTGGAAAAGCAGAGTTCGCGCCGTGGGTGGGTGGTTACAAATTCCGTCGTGTTTTCTCGCCGAGGAGAGGCGGGTGCTGCGATGGCAAGAGGAAGTTTCAGCAGAGTACCAGCATTTTCACATCGTTGGAGGGATTGGTGGATGTTGTAGAAATCTGGGAAGGGGAGAAAGAAGATTGTTGAGCTCTGTGGGAAGTTGAACGAGCAGTTTACTGTGACCCTCTTCGCTTTGGTGCTGGCGAGAACTGACTGCGGCGGTGACTGCACACACTGGCGCACTTGCAACACCCTGCGGTTTCCTCGCTTGCACCGAATGGCCGACCAACGGGGCGTCCTTCAAGTGGCAAAGCCATCTGAGTGGCTGGTAACAGAGGGGGGGAAAGCGGGCCGTGCAGGGCAATGCGCATCCAATAATGGTCTTTTGGTCTTTTGGTCTTCCCCTCCAAAGAGTGGCTTCTCCAATTGACCGCCAGCAATCCAAAGCCCGACGGTACCAGCTTCTCCAACGTTGAGCCCTGCATGATAGTTGAATGAACGATCTGGAAGGGACAGATTGAGTATAAGATACGAGATCCAAGTACGAGAAACTATTCTCGAAGTATGTGCCTTGTTGCGTTCTCGATGGCAGAGGGTGTTTCTCCGCGCGTGGGATTGGATTGGATTGGAGTGCGGCCAGATCCAGACTTCTCACAGTTTGCGATGAGCCGAGCTCCTCCAACCCTGGTGATCACGTGCCTCGGCCGTGAAAAAGCCGGTACAAGTGCAGCCAACCAACGCGTCTCTTGAGCCCCGCCTTGAACGCGTCTTTCGCAATTAGCCATTTATGGCCGAAATTCGATCTTGGGGAGAATACGAGATATCCAGGAGTCAAAGTATGCTTATTTGTCTGAGCTCATCCTTTGGGTGATTATCACGAAAGGAAAATTGATTCCCAGCTCATCATGTTGAACGGCCTCAAACGTAAGCGGCCAGGCAAAAGCAGAGGAAATTTACCTCTGGCGAATGACACCCGGTAAGGCAGTAAGTTCTACATGCCAGAACTGATTATCGCAATAGCGCTGATCGTCGTTGGGCACATCATCTGCGACTTCTCATTGAGTTGAATTGGACCAAAACCTGCAAAGGCCAAATAATGATTTCATTGTTTATCGGGCAACTTGGTGCCGGTATAATTCCAAATGCTCTGGTGCTTCTGATTTGAGCCAATGTTTCGTCCACACCATGCCCATTCTATTGAAGAAACCCTGGCCAGCGACCCCCAGGCTCCAAAAGTGAATGCCGCGCATATAGGCTTTCCCCAAGAAAAATAAATATGCTTGCTGCTCAGAACGTCGTGCTGTTGATACATATTTTGTTCGGTCGTCTCGTCGTAACGTCATGTCGTGGTACAAAATGGGCTTGTTCCTGCTTCAAAAAGGAAAGCAGATTCGTGATGGGTTCAAGTAAAAGGTTGGTTCAGAACAGAGGCTCAGGGCTTGACGGTGAGAAGTATCCAGGGTCTTCAGTTTCGCTGATCCGATGCTGCTTGCGTCCCTGGACGCCGCCAGCCTTTGTCACGCCGTCTCGTCGACCCATTGATAGGAGATCTTCTTCTCTGGACTGGGCTTTCTCTTTTGCCTGCTCTTTCCCCTTGTTGTTCTCCTGTTCTCCAGCAGGTCCAATATCCGAGCTCCCTATTTCATCTCTTTTGGTCTGAATCAGAAGGCTGAGCTGGCTCTTGGTTCGTGGGAGTTGCATGTTTTCCAAAGACGAGTCATCGTCGTCGGCATCATCCGAAACTGCTTCACTGGATATGCTCCTACGCAGTTGTGAGGATCCAGGCGTTTCGTCTCTGGTTGGGATTGTCGCTTCCTTCTCCCTTTCCTTTCCCTTGCGCAGTTCCTGGGGCAACTCGTCCGCGAACCTGACAACACTACCTGTCTTTTTGATTCGGTTAAGGCCGGCAAGGTTTGTCGAGCTCACCAGCTTCTTCTGGGTTTCCACAAATTTGCCTCGGAAATCCGGCTCGACCAGTTCACCCGAAGACGTAGGCAGAGGCGGGGCAGTGTTCGCTAAAGGGGGCTCAGTAGCCGAATCTATGCTCTGCCACGAAGACGCAGATGGAAGAACGAAAGCCGGTCCGCTGGTAGTTGCTGGCATCCAATATGTCAGCCTGCTAGCCCATCAAATGCGAGATGTACGTACAAGGGGCAATTGGCAAACCAGGAGGCGGTCCTCTGTTAGTGAGGGCACCGACACCTCCGCTGGTGTCCTGAATTGTGACGTCGACTGTGGCAGCGCCTGACTTTGCCCTTGGAGATTTCGGTCCGCTTGGGCCTCCTGGGGATTTTTGCGAACTGGATTTTCTGCGGGGGATTTGAGGCCTCGCCCTCGACTTTCCAGCAGTGGCCAGAACAGGCGGCCTTTGTCGTCCACCGCTAGTGGTTCTGCTCAAGGTCGGTCGGGTAGACGATTCGGATGTGGCGTGAGACCCAGACCCTGAAGCATCTTCAGACTGCATTCGGCCACGTCCGTTGGGCTGTCCACTGGAAGGCTGGCGTTCCTCATCACCTGTATTGGCCGCCACGGAAGGAAACCTAAAATCTTGCAGTGTGGGTGCAACATTTGGCCTGGTACGTGGAGTGGCACCTGTTGTCTGACGGATGTCAGAGGTAGGAGACAAGGGAGAGGTTGTGTTTGGGGACTGGCTTGACGCAGATAAACCCTCAATATTTCTGTCAGCAAGGATGTTTCCGTGGGATGTTAGGATAACATGTACCTGTGTGATAAGTTCGGGGACCCGCCCGGTGTGAGTACCATCTTCGATTGGGGTCAAGTCCACGTCTTGAGTACACAGAGACCACAAGCGCATCAGTCGTGCAGATGTCATGGACTTGGTAAGGGTCGGGCTACTCCATACTCTCCAGAACAGATTCCGCAACCTTGCAGAGGTATTGTCTTGCGTCGCCTCGCTCTGAATGGCATAAACTAACGAAATATCAGCCGCTGGTCCGTATTTGGGTCCCAAGAGCAAAAAGACCTTTCCAAAACTTGCTGAGCACTTCTGCATTGGTGAAGTCGACGTGGAAATCGTCCAAAGCATGCTGTTGGACATCGGGATTCGCATTAATTAGTCCTTGGGGTAGAACGGCCGTCATGACAAGCGGTTATCAAAGGACGTCTCCGGCGGTGGCAGCTCGACGAAGCCGGACAATCAACTCGTGGATTGGCCAAACCATGTCCTTTTGTCCCAGCCAAGTCGAACACAATGAGGACCAAGCGACCGAGGGCTTGAAGAGGAGGAAAGGGAAGCGGAAGGTAAGGTGAAGGGGAAATTGGCCGGCGGCAAGGGCTGGAGGTGCCCACCAACCCGGGTGTCTCGTGGCGGGAAGGAGCGTAAAGATCGGTGTGTAAGAATAGATGAAGTCACAACCGGGAAAAGGAGTTTTTTTGGCCTTCGTGTTTCTTTTTCTCGTCCCTGTCCACGCGCACCCCAAATGTGCGTGTAACCGTAAGCGGCGCGGCTGGTCTGGACGGGTGGAAGCTGGCTGGAGGTTGAGCTAGATCACCACTAAAGCTTGAAACAGCAAAGACCACTGGCGACGTCGATCGAGGAGGCTCACTACTTTGAGGGGGGAAGAGGAAACAACTGTCAGGTCCCGCGGTCCTGGGCTCGCTGGGCAAGGGAGTCCTTGGGGCATGTGGTGAGAAATCGAAAGTCTGGGACCCGCCGCCAAAAGCCTAAAATAACGGGGGAAGCCAGTGACAGCCAGTAGTGAAGCGGCGCGGAAGGGATCCGTTGGGTGAAACCGGAGCGCTGAGTGACTGGATTGAGGAACTAAACACGAGAAGGGGCTCAGTCCAGCTGAAAGCCTCTCGGAAGACGGTTGATTGAATGCCCTGAGTTGGGCTGGAACCGGGGGGAAGACGAATTGACGGTACAAACGTGGGTGACGGTGGTGACAAGCAAGTTGGCCGCGGTCAAGAGGACCGGGTGACTGGTGACGGGGTTAGCGCGGGAATGGCGGTGGATGGCATTCATCGAGTTGGCCTCGAGGGACAAAAAGCAGGTCCAGAGGGCGGAGAGAAGGAATGATACGTCGACAGAAGAAGCTGCAAATGCCTCTGAGATGAATGGTAAGTGGATAACGACCGAGGACAGATCCTAGAGACTTGTAGTCAGCCGACCCCACGGCGGTTGATCCCAAAGGAAGAAAAAGACTCTTGAAGCACAACTCTAGCTTCACTCAAGGAATTTGGTATTGATGCAGGAACCAGGGTCAGATGGCAAATATCCACTGGGGTGGTCAGTTGGTGGTGAGGTTTGAGGCAAAAGGGGAGTTGCTACAGACGAGGGTGAATTGAAGAGGGGTTACAAGAGACAAGGGCACGGCCGAGACAGGATCTAGAAATGGGGGAATGGGAGCCATGGTGATCATGGGAACCGATATGGCAGACAAGGAGACAAGGAGTTCCGAAGCTCCATGGTGGGCAAGACGCAAGACGGGAGTGACGAGGCGAGGTGGAATGGTGGATGCATCCGTATAGGAGGATACGGGGGACTGAGTAAGTGACTGACAGGTGGTTGATGATGGAGGAAAAGTGGGCGGTACGAAATGCCACATCCGTCGTAGTCAGCAGTCCCGTCCGCGAAACGAGAAGAGACAGAATTGGGCGAAAGGAGGAGAAAAGCGGAGAGACGAGGCCGAGACACACAGAGAGAGAGAGAGACGAACGAACAGGGCAACAAACCAGATGCCGATAGATGGAACGGATGTACGCTTTCACCCCCACTTGTTATCGACACCGACACCGACACTGACCCTCAAACCGGCGACTAATACCGGATAAATGTCTAGAGCAACAGGGTGAGGCTTAAAATACTGGCACCATTGCATTGCTACCAAGATACCTTGTACTGTAGATCAATAATGTGATCGACATGGGTAAATACCACAAGGTCCAACGTGGCCACAATGGCACCACGAACCAACCCGCCGACATGGATCCGGTGGGACACTAGAAAGATCGAGAACAAGGGGCTGATCAGCATCTATTTTCCCAGGTGCTGGTACCCAAGTACAAGTGTTGGAGATAGAGACCAGGAGGTGCAGCAGCACAGCATCACAGCATCCCACGGTTAAACGGCAAGGGAGATAGAGAGAGCCAATCACTATACATGGCGGGGTCTCGGTACGGTCACTTGAGTTTTGTACGTAAAGTCAAGATCAAAGAATGAAGATCAAAGGGGAAGGAAGATGTTGTTTCTGTTGCACTTGGCGAGGAAAATAAAATAATTACGGAGTAATAAATGGCAGCCCAACCAGATCTTGCATTGCATCATGATCTTGGACTGTCATTGGTCTCTTTTTCTCCTTGTTTCCTCACCGCAGCTTGTTCCGTCGTACACCATGATTGCAATTCAATTCCCTGCTCCCCTGCTTTTCTACACTACTAACATGACTAGGTACTCGGCAGCGGGTAGCTTCAGGTAGCTTCAGGTACCTTCTCACCAACGTTGCATTCAAAGGTACCAATCTGCACCTTGTTGTCTCCTTGCCGATGTAGCTACTTTGGTAGCCTGAGTAGCTCATCCACCTCCCAGTCTCGCCTTGAGTCGCCTCACTCGCTCTAACTGCGCTTGTCTCTAGTACATCATCTATACAAGTACAAATACAAAAAACAAAAGCCTGGATCCCGGCCAACACTGCTCCACTCCCTCTCTTCCTCCAACCCCGGCTTAGTCCTGCAGCTACGTCCATTTCCGACGCGCCTTTACAGGATCCACCATCCACGTTGCTGGGTCTCCTTTCTTCCGTCCCGGATGTACAAAGCACAATGTATCAGGAACTGTGCTGAGGTCGGCTCCTTAGTTTACGAATACCTTCTCATAGCGCTCTAATCGAGTCCACCCAGACAAAATCACCCGCCTACCGATGGCGCACAAAGTCGAACCTGCACTTCTCGTTGGTCGCCGATCTCCTATTTACCAGACGCCTGATGCAAAGAACCTCCCCCACGCAGTCTCTACATATTCAACTCCTTTGCACCCTCATTCACCTTATCAGGAACTTCACACATGACTAAAACCATTATCGTGCCTCCACCACATGCTACTTGACTTACTCGGAGGTCTGGGAAGCGGCCAGACATCTAGACAAGGCCATCACCTCATATCGCGCTATCAAGATGCCGTCTGCTGCCGCTCCCGGTCCCAACTTTCCTAGCCTCCTTTCTCGGGCTCAAGTATATCTACCCCGTAGGTTGGTGGTCTAGATCACCATGACTCTGGGGCCCATCTCGCCCCCGAGTCCCCACTTTAATGGATCCTCGAAGTTGCTTTTGACACTCAATCGGCCTGGATCTACCGAGGCGTGCACCAAAAGTACTGTTCACGCTAAATATTAGTGTCTAGACTAATAAGTTAGTGTCTCGGCATGTTTTTGTCAACTGTTTACCACCTATTTTGTATGAGGAATTGTCGCTGCGGACATAACGAGACCTAATCGCTATCCTCCCAATCGTCCTGATCGCTGTCCTGGTCACTGTCCTGTTCTCTGTTACTAGGCATTCTATAAACTGGCCATTCTACCACGCCTGTAATTGGCAGGTTGCTAACCTGTTGATCTCGTTCCGCCTGTCCTGCAATCGGTAGGTTGCTAACCTGTTGATCCTGTTCGACCTCGTTATCGCTCTCCTGGTCTACTAAGTAGACATGTTTGTATAGACGGCCAACCTTACGTTGCGCCCTGTAACTGCGCCTAGTATCTCGTCCTTCCTTATACTCGTTGCCGCCCTCGAGGCGAATAATCTCCTGGATATTGCGAGGAATTCCTTCAATCCACTGCTGAATCTGGCTTTGCGGAAGTCTCTCCTAGGCATCTTTCCAGACCTTTCTTAGGGCTTTAACAGAAGGAGGAGGACCGCGAAACGTCGTTGCCTTTTTAAGCCATGGCCAGGCCTTTTCTGAGGCATTTAAATCAGGCGAATTAGGTGGGTGCTGAAGGCGCTGAATGCGATTTAATCGATAGATCTCTTGAGTATACCAGTGCGCATGAGAGGGCGCATTATCCTCCTGAACGATCGTCTTAGGTCGCGATTCCTGGCATTCCTGTGCAAACGGAATGATGAGAGGCTGAACGATGAACTAGATTTCCAATCTGTTAGTAAATCACATAGAAAACAGAGGGTAAAGGCATTAAATCGCCTACCTTGATATATCGGTACCAATCGATACCACCTTGACTGCGCCTGACTAACTTACCAGTCTTTTCTGTGAATCGCCAGGTTGGCCTTTTACCACCTTTATTCCTGAGGCCTAATCGCCTAGTTCCTGTTTCCAACTCCCATTCCTCTCTCTTCATTCTTTCCATCTCCTGATTTATCAGTTCGAGATGGTTAGAGGCCTCTTTTCGCTCTTTTACAGTCTCAGATTGCCAGATATAACAGGGCCCTTTGCGATCGTAAGTAAAACAGCCCCAAAACATGAATTCTGAGTAGCCTTTCCAGCGATTACGGATTACTGACTTCATAAATGCCTCGCTAGGCCTTCGCTAAACCCTCTGTCGTCCACGGCGTCCTAGAACAATAGAGGTCTCGTCGCTCCAAATCACGTTCTTCCAATCCTCAAGCGTCCAGTTCTGATAGCGAAGACAGAACTGAAGGCGAACAGAACGCTGTGTCTTTGATAGGCCAGGTTTTCTCGTTGGTTTGACGTTAACAAGGCGATTTCGATGAAGAACGCGTAACGCAGAAGATGAACTGATTCCTGCTTCATAGGCTAGAACGTCACTCGATTTCTCTCTACCTGACCTGTCCTTCTCAACCAGTACTAAAAGGCGCTGTTCGACCTCGTTATCGATCTCTCTAGGCCTTCCTGTCCTGACGCCATCTTCAACATAATGCTCAAGTATTCGAAGATCATCCTGTGGACGAAATCCACGATCTTTTGCCTTCTGAAAAATCCTCCTAGCCTAATGGGCTGGCACTCGAATCACGTTCTCAATCTATTGTGGTGTCCAACCAATCGATAATAACGAAAGCGTTTGGATTCGCTGAGCGATTGAGTATCGAACGCCAGTGTGGCTAGAGGCCTGTTCCGCAGGGAGAGGTCTTTGCGTTTTAGGTCTGTGAGGTATCCGCGGCCGCGAATCTTCGCGTTCACGGGCTTTTTCTGCATATAAATCAGTCAACGGCATGGTCAAACGCAGGAATTAGACCACAGAACGCAAAGAACAGACCTTCCTGGACATGGGACGCTTCCTGATATACCACAGTTAGCGAAGTTACAGGCATAGGAGGCGGTGTGACAGTTGTTACAAGTTACAGGAAAGTGTACTAGCTGACTTCTATTTACACAGGATATTAGCTGTGGAAAAGAAAACTAGACCTACACTAGGCTGGACTAGTCGACAGCTGCCTAACGCTAAGATTTAGCGTGAACAGTACTTTTGGTGCGCGCCCCGGTACAAGTACAGGAAAGATCCGCTTCGGCTTCGAGGCAATGAGGACATACGCGTTGGCGGGGCCGACCCCTTCGTGCCCCTTTTCTCTTCTGTTCCCATGTTGATCATGTGAAAGTCTGAGGCCTGACACTTTGCCATAATGGATTGAAAATGTCATCACACCACGCCGTGAAACGTGGGGTCAATATCGTGCCCGACGGTTTATTTCGTTATCAAAAACATTGGCCCTCGTCAGGCTTTCCAACTCCGGAATTGACGGTTACAGTCGGCTAATGGTTAAAAGGCATACATACTCCCCAAGTAGGAAGGCGAGCTGTGCCCATGGCCTACAATACTTTATGCAATGTGCGTGCCGTCAAACCTGCATCCAGCAATTATGAATGCTTTACTAGCTCTGGTGGACTGGCCTCGATCGCGTATTCCAACGACGGTCTTTTCCTCGCCATCTGGAGATCAGCGCCTTTATGTGCAGGTATATCTACAATCGCGAAGTCAGCAAGCCAGACAATCAAAGGAACAATGATGTGGCTGGTCGAAAGTCACATGCCAGAACCAGGAGATGAAACACAACTTACCCTCCGTCGACTCGCAGATCTGCACCGGTGACATAGCGACTGGCATCACTCAGCAGGTATACCACCGCTCCCTGAAGATCCTCTGGAGAACCCATCTTGCCGACCGGGATCAGGGATGTCCAGGTCTTGTTAAGCTCCGGGTTATCATCCAGAATCTTACGGGTCCTGTATGATTCGTTAGCTGGTCGAGGGAAACCACACAGTAACAAGTTACTTACAGAGCTGTCAACATGTAGCCAGGGCTGATGCAATTCACCCGGACATGAGCGTGCGCCCATTCCACGGCCAAACTGGCGGCAAGATGCCTAACCGCCGCCTTCGCTGCATTGTACGGCGCCTGTGGTTGCGGCACATTCACAATTGAGCCAGACATGCTCCCAATCATGACAATGCTCCCGTGTGTAATGTTGCGCTCCATGAGATGCCGACCCACGGCGGTGCTAAAAAGATAAGTACCGTCGACATTGACGCCCCAGAGTTTCTTCATGCGCTCATACGGGTACGTCTCAGCAGAGAAGTTCTCTGTGAATCCTGCCGAGGTGACCAAATGGTCGATCTTGCCGTGCTCTTTGATGATCTCAGCGATGCACGCATTCACCGATTCTGGGTCCGAAACATCGGCATAGTGAGCCGTCACCTTGGGAATATAGTCGTCGGAGCCGCTGTCCGCGTTTTCCTTGGACATCATCGACATGAGTTCTGCAGCTTGCTTTTCACCTTCCTCCTCTATTGAGATTGAAAGGTCAGCATGCTTATCTTCTGGGGGGTGTGGGAGATTCATCTGGCAGGGCTAGAACCATAGAGGACCTCGGCGTCGTCTAACCAGCTCTTTCCACGAACAAGGATCCCTATGGCGGAGAAAGGTGTGTATCCAAGACTTACTATTCAGGTCAACAATAGCCAGGTCTGCTCCCGATTGAACCAGGCCTTGACCCATGACCAGTCCGAGCCCTCGTGCACCCCCAGTCACGACCGCTGTCCTCCCCTCGAGACTGAAAGTCGGCAAAGTTCTAACATATTGTATCCCACCTCTCCCCCGCAATGGCCTGTCCCGGGGAAATTCTTCTTCTGGAGGGTATTCCACCACGATATCTCGATCAGTTCGGGCGGCGGAACCTTCATGAGGGCCGGCCGAAGTGCCGGTAGCATCGGTCGAGACTTTATGGTAGGGATCTAGTTCATCTTTTTCCAGTTGGGTGGGAGTGACTTTGAAAGAGCGGGAGGATGTGGAAGACAGAGGTCGGACGAAGGATGGAGTCGACCGCAAACGATTGAGACGAGGTATTTGCCGAAGGAGACGAAGGGCGGTAGCCGTGTTCATTTTGAGATTCCCCCTCTTGCTTTACTCTTTTGTACACGTTTGTTGATGCCGGACAGAATATCGAAGGGCCAACCACACTATGCCAGAAATCTGTCACTTTCACTTTTAGAGATATTACTTTATAGCCAGGCGGTTAAAGGAAACGGCAGGAGACTGCGAGAGTATAGTGATTGTAAAATTGGCAACGAAAGGACAAGAAGCAGTTTGAACCAGCTTAGTATGTGTTGTGTACAGATGTTTGTGTATGGGGAGTAAATTTCCCCCTTCCAGGAAATTTTTGATTGAGATGGCAGATGAAAGATGCAGGGTCACCCAAGGTGCGTGAAGCGGAGAGTTGCAACGTCAACGTCATATGTCATCGAGGGTCCAATAATCCCCCTTGGTGCCCCTCCCCAAGCTCCCCTTGGAAGCTTCCGAGCTCTTAGCTCCACGACAGACGGACAGGGATAGGGACAAGGACCTCTCCAACTCGCAGTAGCAGTAATAATATGCGGCGAAACATGTGCATGGCGAGACGGGGGATTCGTCACTCTCTTGTCCTCGTCGTGTGGAGTAGGAGATCAACATGGTCCTTACAATCCTAGCGAGACAAATACGTACCCCCAACGACCCAACAACTCCAGAACCTACCTACCTACCTAGTACACAAGCAAGCAAGCTGCCCTACCCACGCTTACCGTACGCGGTGCGAGTACACGCATGTTTGGGAGTGATTGGCATACAAAATCCCCGACATGGGTGAATAATCCACCCAACAGACGGAGAGTCATTGTACCTCGCAACTCGTTAGATACCTACGTAGTAGCTCGCATTGACCTACAGACCTGCTTGTACAGACCTACAGTAGCACCATAGGTACCTAAGACCAAGTAGGGTATCCCGCCGCCCTCATTGAAACCTAATCGGCTATTTCTACTCGCCCTGTCTGTGTTCCTTTAAGATCTGATTTCTTTTTTTCTCCGTTCGATCCGGTAGCACCCCCATCACTGGTGTTCACGCGTGCCCTCATCTCCTCCGCTAATGAGTAAGAGGACGATGCGTGAGTTGAGGAGCATAGCGACGATGACGGCGAGTCATAGTGGGTAGATAGTATCTTCCACACCCAACTTTCATAGCCTTGTACGCCATACATAGACCACACGCCGTACTGAGGACACCATACACTGGAATGAATACACCTGTCCCCCCATCGTCATCACCGTGGATATACATACAGATGGAGGATGGAGGATGGAGGATGGGCCATAGGACATGATGTGTTCCATATACTAGGTAAGGACGTATGGACCCTGGGGAATGTGTTCATTATGCTGCGCTTTGTTGTTCAGTGCACGGCAAGACGAGTCCTTCGAAGAAGGGGGAAAGGGATATATACCTACACCTCAGCCTTGCAACATTGACCGCTGACACCTAACCGGGAGCGTGAGACTTTTATCCACTTATCTACCGGCACGTACGCCTTGTGTGAAGCCATTCTTACTGGGTTAAGGAGAACAAATTCATCTCTTCTATTCATTTAATTTTCCATGTTCTATTGAGTTTGGAAAAGGTATGGCGGTGAGTGAGCTTCACTTGGGAATCTCTGATCTTATGACTACCTCAACTGTCCTTCTCTGGCCTCGTCACGCCTTGGCACCACGTCCCCGTCTCTCCCTCCTTCTCTCCGAGACGAACCACCACGTGCCAAACGCGGCCGTCACGAACCACAAGACCAGCCCGGCCAGGTCGAACCCGACGGCGGTCTTCATGCGCTGAATGCCGTTCTCATACTCGACCTTCTCGCCGATGTACATGGAGCCGAAGATGCCGGACAGGGTCGCGAAGAGGATGGTCAGAACCCAGTCCCACGCGAACAGCAGGGCGACGGTGCGGTAGTGGAAGAAGATGCTGGCGAGCGAGAAGATGAGCGACGTCACGGCCGCGAGCGACCCGACGGTGACGGCAAAGACCTTGAGCGCGATTAGTACCCGGACCAGTTCGGGCGGGAAGGACGTGAGTGCGTGGGTTTCGGGGTCTGTCGTACGTACCCATTTTGCGTCGGCGTACTTGTCTGCCTTGGCCGCGTTGTTCAGGTCCACCGCGTACATGCCGATCACGACGAGGGCGTCGATGAGTTGCAGGGACCGGAAGACCAGGTTGAAGATGTTGGATTTGCGCAAGGTGGCGAAGATGGTGAAGATACCCATGGTTTCGGAATGTCTAGGACCTGGTGTCTATCTGGATTGTGATTGCTTGGGTTCAACCTTGTGTTGTTTCTCTGTTGGATGTGATTGTGTATAAACTTACAATCGTTGGCCTTGGATGATGACGTTGGAAGTGTCGAGCAAGACGGATGGATGAGAAGCTGTCTGTGTCAGAAATTTGCAGAATAGTCCAGAGATCCAAATGGTTTGGCGGAATACTTCGAGCAAATACCTTGAATCAGTCAAACAAAAGAACGGCAGTGCCTTGTCAAATCACTTCAATGGGTGTTTGTCACCTAGTGGACTAAAACCTGGCAGTGACACAAGCCGGCTTTGTTCGTTCTTTGCCTGTGGTTTGTGTGGCCTTTTGTGCGACTGACAACGACTGATAATGGCCCTTCGCCCTTTGTAGATGGCCGGTGAATAGTCGAGTGGTAGGATCTTTGTCGTGGGATAGATGGTGCTGGCGAGGTGGTGGGGATTGGCTTCTCTTCAAGAGAACTTGTTTCACGGACAAAAATTGAGTGATGATACACAGGGACATGTGCCCTTTTGTTGGGCATGAGACATCTGATACATGAAGCGCAGGAAAGAGTTGTTGATAAGTGCACAGCCTCTTGTTAGAGAAACGACCGGATTGGGAAATGCGGGATGCCAGTGGTTGCAGGCATGTGCGTCATGGCTTTGGGCAAGAATCAAGAATCTTCAGGGAATACTCGGTAGGAGAGAATGTGCCTTGGAATTGCGGGGAATGTGGCTTGATCAACAACTCTACTAGGGGCCCAAGGAAGCCACGCACTGCCACGCCACCAATGCAACCAGTGGCATTGGACGTTGGGCATAAGTGAATCCTGTTCCACCTCGACGCACACGCAAGCCATCCTGATGATCCTGTCCAGCTACCTCATCTTGAGACAAAGGCGTCTTCACCAGATTAATACGAATTGAATGCTAGTTTTATCTTTTGGGGGAGAGGAGTATGTGCAGGCTACCTAGGGCTTGCCAGAGGGCCAGGAGTTGTGCGGAAAAAGGGTGATTGTGTAGATACAGACAAGATGTCAAAATGCCACGAGAAACAAAACCGGCGCCAATGAAACGAGTGACCAGATCAGAGTCCAATGCGATGCGAGAGAAAGACTGAACAAAGGGGAACAACAGAACAAAAGGACAGACAAGAAACACGGACCGAGCTGTCGAAAGCTCAACTGTCATCGTGTCCCTCCGCCTCCATTAGTTCCCCCAGCCTTGTCTGTCGTCGCATTCGCCGGCCGGGTAGCAGCCTTGCTCGGAGCAGTGCCTGCAGGTGGTGCCGGCATGGGCACTGGGTCATCGTAGCCATAGTCCAAGTCATCGTCGCCAAGCTGGTCCAGTGGCTGATTCTCGTATCCCTGTGGAGGCATCAGTGGGCCATTGTAGTTCGAGGCCTTGGGCGTCCCCTTTGTCTGTTTCTTTCCCTTCCTGCCCTTGAGTTTGGCTTTCTCCAATAACCGCCTCTTCTCCGCCAACCGACGCCGTTCTTTGCGGTCCTTGATCTCATATTGACGTATCAACGCATGAGGAGGTTGACCAAAGATACTCTCGTACTCGCAGAACTCACAGATCCAGATGTCTTCAGGGGCCGGCGGATGCTGCAAATTGTTGTATTCTTGTTGAAGCCGCCTCTGTCGGGCAGCCAAGGTATACACGTCTGCTCTCCTTCGGCGAGGTTTCTTGCCTTGGGCATTCGCATTTGCCGTGGCCGAAGCCGCGGCGGCAGTTTGAGAGTTTGGTTGCCCCACGCCCGTATTGGTGTGTGTCGCTTGAGTTGGTCCTTTCTGGTGTGTTGCCCCCGGACCTGAAGGACCCAAATTGTTGCGTTGTGCATACCCTGGCGAGTATAAACTCTGTTCGGGGAACGTTACTCCTTTGGCCTCGCTCTCACATGTAAAGGTAAACTGTGAACTGGTATGGGCTTGTTTGACTTGTTGATCCAAGACACCCACGTTCTCTTGACCTTTACCGAGAGGTTTCCGCAGCAGCGCTGTAGCATTGGCAATCGCGGCAGAAATAATACCTTGATCTTTGGATTCTTCGGCTTCGAAACACATTAGTCACACTCACGTCCTTTTTTCCGCTCTTTGATTCTTACCTTTGGCGTTAGCAGAAATATTCTGGTCATATTTGGATGTACTGCTTCGAGCGTTGGAGCCATTAACCGAAACACCAAGCGGATTCCGTCCCGGTAGCTTTCTAGTGCTGCGCCCTCTCCCTGCTCCTTGCACTCCAAGGCCGGTGGGGCTTCCGGCGTGAGCAATTGTGGAATAAGAATCGTCCGCTGAGCCGTCTCTCGTGCCACTGATACCCATATGCGCCAACTGATCCGTAACAGATGAATGATGCAGACTCAAACTGCCAGAGGTGGGAATTTTTCGCTTTTTCTTATTATTAGTGTTTTCAAACGCCTCATATCCGTCCGGCCCAGACATGGTGCCCTTGGAAGAGTATCGGTGGCGACCCGAGCGGGGAGATCGGGGGGATGACACAAAGTAGTGGCGGACGGGAACCATGCGTTCATCTTGAGAATCTAGATCATCTTCGTATTCATCGTGATGGCAGTGATGGTGGTGGTGAGGACAGTCATGATCATCGTCGTGGTCGTGGTCGTGATCTTGATCATATCCATCACTATGTTGGTGCACTAAAACTTTGCTGTCGTTGGGATAGTCACCATTTTCTCCATAGTGGGAGTATGTCGGTAGGCTGGTCGATGGAAGCGTAGGAGGATATGTGATGGCCTCAGCGGCTTCTTGGGACAATCGGGACTTGATGGACCGCTTGGGGAGTGGCCGAATAAGTCGCTCGGGGAAGACGGTGGAGGGAGTGTCAGGGGACGAGAGGTAAGAGGTGTCTAGATCTTTATTGTTATTTTTTGCTGGGTGTGAGATCGAGGGTGGTGTCCAGGACCACCCTGGGAGAGACGTACTGTATGCCATCTTCAAGAGTCTTCCCTCCTTTTATTGAGCCTGGGCCAACAAAGATTTTCTCTGCCCCATTCAAACGCACTCTGCGGAGTTGGCGGCGAAATCTAACGGTGTTCACAAGTCAGCCAACGTTCAACAGAGATAAAAGTTGCCGCCACGGGCATTGCGTGATGTCTAAATGCCCTGATCTGGGTGATATAGAAAGAAGTGGGCGTACCAGTAAACCCGAATTATTCAGCCAAATCAGATTGGTAGTTGGGTGTTCTCATGGAGTACGGACTCGTCTCTCTTTGAAATAGATATCCAAACGGACTGGGGTGTACGGAAGACGGAGGATACAGGTGCCAGCTGAATGGACTCAACCGGAGAAGTGAAAAATTCTAGTGGTTGTCAAAACTGTTCAACGGTAGCTTGCACAAGCAGAAGTAGACGCAGATGGAGGTGCAGTTCGACTCCGTTCGATATCGGCTGCCAAGCCGTGCAAGCCCCAGCGTAGCCGAGTTGGAGCCTCGTCTCATCTCTTCGCTCCTTTCAAACATTGTCTCACAAATGGATTTTGTTCGCTTGACCAGATTACAATTACCTACAATACAATAGGGGGTCCTCCAAGCCAAAGAAGCCACGTTTCATGCATTTCCCATCCTGCACCATTTCTCTTCTTGTGCTCGTTACAGTCATGAAATTATTCCATAAGGGTACTAGGCCGTTCTTCAATTTCACTCGAAGAGCCAGTAATCCTCTATCATCCTGCCCTTGAGTGATTGCCCACCGTTGAGTGGATGGTTTGATCGTTGCAATTTATCCATGCTATGCCTAAAAGAATCTTTTCATCTTGCTCTTAATGTGTCGAACGTGTGGTGGCGCGTTTCGAGGCGACTCTCTTTGCTCGGTTGCTGGGAGTTGAGTTGGTATGGTCAACCTCGTCGAGCTCCTCCGTTGCCTTCCTTTTATTCTCCCTTCGAGAACTGGGTTTGGGGATGTCTGGGGGTCTGTCTCGCCTCATCTCTTTTCCATTGACCATGGCCGTCGGATCATTCGAGTCAACAACCACGGTTTCACTCGAGTCTGGCGGAGAAGGTAGTTCGGCCTTGACCCGTCGCCGTTTTCGAGGTATCTCATCTTCAACCAGGACTCCCGTTTGTAAGACTGTACCACCTGATCCCAGATCCTGGCCGCCCTGACCGTAGCCTTTCACTCTATCGTTGTCTATTTTGCCCACAATAGCATCGCGACAGTTTGTGGCATCTGGCCCAGGGTCTTCCTTCGAACTAATGGCCTGTTCGACATGTTCTTCCCCGGAGGGTTCTTCTGCCATGCTTTCTGCTACCTCATCGTCCTCTTCGATTTCAGCCGAAGCATCTTGATTGGTGGCATCGAAGGACGGCTGCCGCTGCACATGTTTGAGACCCATATCTGCTAGACTCATCTCATTTGCCCAACTCTCGTCGTCTTCGGCTTGTCCTGTTGATTGATTCCAGCCATTGTCCTTGATCGCGAAAACATCCTTCCAATTCTTCATGAGAGCGACCTTCTCTTGATGATCTTTGTGGGCTGGAATCTTTTGGCCAGTTTGCTGGGCCCAGATTGTGCCCTTGATGCTACTGGTCAACAGTTTGACCTCATCCAAGCCCGAAGGAAGGACGTCGATTGTCTCGATCAGCTTCCTCTTCTTGCCCCTCCGAGAGTTCTGGGCAGCAACCAGAGTGTTTTTACCGAGGGCAGGTTGAGGGATCTTTCTCAATAGCGTCGGATCATCATCCATGTAGTCATCCGAGTAGTACTCCCAGTCGCTAAAATATTCACTCATCTCGTTTTTAACAGCATCTTCCTCTTGATATACAGGACTGTGTACTGCATGCTCGGCCAAATCGTCGGCTAACTCTGGTGTCGGATCCGCATCCCACAGGATGTCCTCAAGATCGTCATAGGGGGAGTAGGTATAGTCTTCAAGATCGGACATCTTGAGGAAGGTGATCTTTTAATCACGTCCAGCGCTTTTCAGGACAACATGACAGGTTTCATTCACAGGACGTGGCAGAAAGAGGAATGAGAGAGAGGAGTCTAAAAGGAATTGTTATATGTTCATTGTTTGAGCCGAAGGTGAACTTTTTTCTCCCTCCTGAACTCGAGGGATTCTCAGAATGTCGTTTGAGCAATCATGCAACCGAAGACGGCGTGGTGCAGGACGGAGGACAAATGGAATCCAGTGTGACGATGCTCGGGCAGGCATTTTGGAGAAACGGCACGCGTTTCGATCCCCACCTGAATGGCCCCCAGAGCTGAGATGCTGCCACTTCCGACGCCATGCGACGACAGCCGAGATCCTGAGAAGGGCTTCATATACCCATTTCTCTCCCTTGATGCTACATAAACTGCCGTATTCCCAGTGTCCTGCGCGTCGAAAATGTGAGCAGTCCTCCTCGCTGACTTCGCCATGTCTCATTATCCTTTCTCTCGAGCCGCAGCAGCCTTTCGACCGCGGGGCACGCTTCGCGCATACTCGACGAAAACCATCGACTCAATTCTCATTGCAAATCGTGGAGAGATTGCCCTGAGAGTCAATCGCACTGCTGCTCAGCACGGCATCCGCACGACTACTTTATACACGAATCCCGATGCCCTTTCACAGCATGCTCTTTCTTCCCCGTTCTCCTTTAACCTCGGCGCAACAGCCGCCTATTTGGATCAAGAGAAGATCCTCCGGATAGCAAAACAAGAGGGCTGTCAAGCCATCCATCCCGGCTACGGCTTCCTGTCCGAGAATGCAGAATTCGCAAAGAGATGTGCCGAAGAGGGCGTCACTTTCATCGGCCCTCCTGCAAGCGCCATTGAAGACATGGGCGACAAGGCGAGGAGCAAGGAGATTATGAATGCGGCTGGTGTTCCATGTGTCCCAGGCTACCATGGATCGGACCAGGCTCCCGAGACACTTGCACAAGAGGCGGACCAGATTGGATATCCCGTCCTGATCAAAGCAGTTCGAGGCGGAGGAGGGAAGGGAATGAGAATCGCCAAAAATGCTCAAGAGTTCTCAGACATGCTTGAAAGTGCAAAGAGTGAGGCGAGGAATTCATTCGGCAACGACGAGGTCCTTGTTGAGAAATACATTACCACACCACGTCACATTGAAGTCCAGGTATTCGCGGATCAGCATGGAAATTGTGTCGCTCTTGGTGAACGAGATTGCTCCATTCAACGCCGGCATCAGAAAATCCTTGAAGAGTCTCCAGCTCCGAACCTGGACGACTCGATTCGCAAAGATCTGTGGGACAAGGCACGAGCAGCTGCGCTTGCTGTCAAGTACGAAGGAGCGGGCACCGTGGAGTTTATTTTCGACAATGACACGGGTGAGTTCTACTTTATGGAGATGAACACCAGACTTCAAGTGGAGCACCCAGTCACCGAAATGGTCACTGGGCTTGATCTTGTCCACTGGCAGATCTTGGTTGCAGAAGGAAAACCCCTTCCTCTCACCCAAGAACAAGTCGAAGAACAGATCTCTCAGCGTGGACATGCTATCGAGGCTCGAATCTACGCCGAGAACCCGGACAAGGGATTCATACCTGATTCTGGCAAACTTTTACACGTCCAACTCCCCAAAGAAACCGCCAACGTGCGGATAGACAGCGGATTCGTTCAAGGGGATGAAGTTTCAAGCCATTATGACCCCATGATTGCGAAGTTGATTGTGAGAGGCGAGACTCGAGAGGACGCTCTGCGCAAAATGGTTGCAGCACTGCAAGACTACGAGGTGGCTGGGCCAGTAACGAATATCGACTTTCTCAAGAGAATATGCAAATCCCCCGACTTCGTTACTGGTAACGTGGAGACAGGGTATATCGAAAAACACCGAGAAGAACTCTTCCCACAGATTAGTGTCACCTCAGAAGTCCTTGCACAGGCAGCGATTGCTTCGTTCCTTCGCCATTCAAATCCTCAGAATTCGAATGCAGCACCATCAGCCTGGCAACTATCGCCCCCCTCGTGGCTTAATACATCTTCGGATTTCCAGCCACGGACCTTTCAATTCGCCACGGCGAATGTCGAGTCTGAACCTGGAAAAGAACCCGAAATTTTTGCTGTGGAACTTCAACAAATAAACCCTGGTACATTCTCTGTGTCAACACCAAACTCTGACCCGATGTCGGTTTCATCCTCCTTCAAGTCGGAATCAAATACCCTAACAACTTACTTTCCTCATACGCGACATACCTCACATATCATCTTCTCTCCTGACTCAGCATCGTCGGGCTCTGGGTCAAACCCAGAAACAATCCATCTCTTCACGCCGCACGGCTCATTCCTTCTCTACTCGCCTGCGCCCTCATGGCTTCAGAAAGCACTCGGCGTGACGGAGAAGCCCAACTCGTTGTTCTCTCCCATGCCGGCCAAGATTCTCCGCGTGCTGGTCTCACCAGGAGATGTGGTGAAAAAGGAGCAACCGTTGATAGTTATTGAGAGCATGAAGATGGAGACGGTTATAAGAAGCCCAATGGAGGGGGCCAAGGTACAGAGAATCGTGCATGGAGAGGGCGAGGTGGTTGCGAGCGGTGTTGCCCTGGTAGAGTTTGAAGAAGACGGTACTGAAGAGGGTGGAAAGTGAACACTCATGTGCAGCGTCAAAGAGATGAGGTGTGACGATATATCCCAGTTTTTTAGTGGGTGGGATTCATCCCCTAAGGCTATATTCACCAAGCGATGCCGTCTGGGGACATTGGTTTGAAAAGGGGGTTTACCTTCGCAATGTAGACCAATCTACATATGTACGCTACGCTATACACTCTAGCTAGAGGAGCAAAGAGAGCAAAGAAATCCACAAGTCAAGCAAACCTTGGGTAGCTCACCCTTTTACACCTGTACACGACCACTCTACCGATAACCCCGTAACTCCTTTCGTATTTTGCGTTTCCAGCTATGTTGTTGTCTGGCTGGAGTCTGAAAACATCTTCATAAGGGAAACAATCATGTAGGATAAGAGAGATTCTTGTAGGACAGACACGTTATTGACTAACCATCTACCATGGTTGTACACTGACATCTAGTTCATTTTATTGAAAAGAAGGGGATCTGGGGGGTATTACAGTATATTTGCCGGAAGAGATGGGTAGGTGTTGTGTATATTGAGTCTTGTATTGTGTATTGTTTGGTTCTTTGTTTACTCACTTGGCCTCGCCTCATCTCATCAAAAAAATGAAAAGAAAGTGAAGAGGGAAAGAGTACCTAGGCATGTCTTCCAAGAACCGATACCTGAACCTGTATCTGTTTGTCTGTTTGTGCGTTATCCTTTCCTTGTTCAGTTCCTTTCCCTTCCATTTCCCGTTCCAGATTTCCACAAAACGTCGTTGGAATGTCTGTAAAATAAAAGTCCTTTTCCGACGTGGACAAAAAACCACTTTCCAATCCTGGTTATTTTCGGTAAAAGAAATATTAGGTCAAGAAAGAAGACGAGGCCAAGAAGAAGAAGAACAAGTGCAAATCTCGCCCCCCACCGTGTATCGTTCTGTGAGTCTGCTCCGGCCACCTCGATGGTAGAGTTGTCTGGTCTGCTCACCAGTTCCAGTTCCGTGGGCGCAGTCGAGGCAGGGATCCCAACACAGAGTCTCCGAGAGAGCTCTGCAACGGGGTCTCTTGGTGATCCAGAGACTCGGGCTTTGCTGCCTGTTCAGAGGAGCTGAGAGGGGTGCCTGAGGCCCCGTCGTTTTTCTCCCCTTCATCCTCGCCATCATATTCCTCGTCGGCTCCCTTGTTTTCGAGCACGTAGTCATCGCCCCCGTACATGTCCGAAGTCTCGCTCTCTTGGTATGCCATATCAAAGCCAAATCCTGGGTCTATCACCTCGTGGGGGACTACGCTTCCCGCCTCGTCAGAGTCCTTCTGGGGGGTGTTTGCGGCATCTGTGTTTATGGACCCGGTTGATAGCTTGCGCATCGTATACCCTCGACTGTAATCGCGAAGGGCTTGGTTCGCTGGCGTTTGCGGTTCCGAGAGCTTCGATGCGGATATAGGAGAGACACTGCCACCTTGACTCTTCTGTTGAGCTTGACCTGGCACGCCGGGGATCGGGAACGCTAGCAGGGCGTGGGCCACATTGCCGATCACTCTGCGCAAGAGCTCAAGCTCCGCATCTTTTTCTCTGACCACTGCGTGTGCTCTCTCGAGCTCTTGCTCTAGGGCTTGGTTTCTGTCCAGCACTGTCCTCATGTTCTTTTGGTGCGTCTGGTTTTCGAGACTGAGTTGCCGAAGTGCCGCATCCACCTGCCAGAAAGATCGGTGCATGCTTTCCATGGCCGTCTGAGCACCGAGCACTGCTGCTCCTGGTTGGAAGGAAGCAGGCTGGCCAGAATCTTTGTCCGCATTCGTGTCATTCGCAGCTACATTCTCAGCTTCCTCTGACACTTTGCTCGTGTCCGCCGCGAATTTGGTTCTCTCACGATTCTTGCGAACGTTGATTTCCTCCGTACGAGGTCGTTGAGGTGGAGTCTTGAGGCTGTACTGTTGAGGCCGAAGGGAGAAGTTTCCTGAAGCAGTCCGTGCCAATTTGCGTTGTTGGCCATCAGAGGAGAATTTGTCGAAGTCTGCTGACCAGCGGGAAGGAGTCTCATGGTTCAGTTCATCCAGAGTCATAGCCGGCAGTCCTCTCTGTTCAGCTGTGGGCTCGTGGTTCACGAATGGATCTGGCACTCCAGTGGGAGCAAGCCCATCGTCTGGGCGACGACGTCTCCAGCGTCCAAAGGTATCCGCACTGGAATTACCAGACGAGAGATGGCGAGAAGATGGCGGCGCCTCAGAAATATCCATGCCTCGGCTATCGGCCTCAGTGAGATCAGGGTTGGTAGGGCGTGGCTCGAACACTTGTTCTTCTAGCCAGTCAGAAAGAGAACGATGATGTCTATGGCGGCGGAGAGTCTGTCCCAGGAGGAGATTCCAGGTTGAAGCGTTCGTTTCCTGGCCACTCACCTCAGAAGTGCCCAAAATGTTCGCCGAAGTAGGCGTAAGGGCCGAACCTATCGGTGACTCTTCAGACTCCGGGAGTTCAGATAGCTTTGTCTCTGTCACTTCTGATTTGAGCAGCTGCAATGCAAGGTTGTTATCAAAGCGCCCGTGGCCCTTTTCTGACAGCTGTCCAGCAGAATCTAAAATTGAGTCATAGTCAGCCTCGCTTGATCCCTCCATGTAATTTGAGATCACGTACCTCAGCGTCGATTGACCTTGAGTAGGAACAGAGGGGTCACCTTGCTGCGCCAGCTGCCCAACGCCAGAGTCGTTGGAAGAGACTTCTGTCCCTTGTTGCACAAAAGATGTGAAGCTGTTAATCCCCTGATGTTGATATGGGCGTTCACGCTTGAATATGTGGAAAGCCCTGCTCAGCTTTGTCTTTGCGGCCCTAAAGAATTCCTTAGCTTTTGCCATCTTGAAATGTGAATGTGCACTTACCTGGTTTGAAAATCGGTGTGCTTGGAAGTTTCTGGTCATCAAGAAAATCGTCTGAATTCTCTTTGTGTTTGCTCAACGTTTTGTTGAAGAACAGTCCAGTGAATTGTTGTGCCCGTGCTGCCCGATGAGCGGAGAGGCAGAGGGTAGAACAATGACATATTTATGAAAAAAAAGAGGTTCAAGAGAGTCGCGGAGGCAGGGCGCGAGGCACAGCAGATCAAGGACGTTGAGACATTAGGACGACTTCCATCGCGCATGGCGCGAACCACAATGCAACAGCCCAGATCTCTTTGTCCAGGTGGAGAGGGACATTATCTAGATATATATAAACGAGAATGTTAGAGACGCTGAGGTCTCACCACAGGCAGTGAAGCCATGGAGAAACGACCTTTTCGTGTAAGTCGGACATGTTAGGAGTTCCAAACTGAACATAATGAACTTGGAATACACTAGACGGGCCCTTAGTCTCCTTGACAAAGGGAAGGTTTGTCGAAGGAACCAACACAAAGCATAGACAACGAAATGCTCTCGATGCTTTGTACCAACAAACGAGTACGAGAGCTACGGTCGCTCTATGCGATTGAGTTCTCGACGAAAAGGAGTTGTTGTACGGCTGTACCCTCCAGCTAGATATGTGTGAATCAGACAAATAGAAATGCATAAGGAGTGAGTCTAGTCGAGCGACAAGAGGACGACACAATAGAAAGGAGGAAAAGGGGACAGGGACAAGGCTGAGGCTGGATACGAAAAACTGATGTTGGACAGTTAGTAGACGCTAATACAGGGAAGGAATAGCGTCTTGAGGCGCCACCAAAGCGGAAGGAAGAACGATTCACCGAGCCAAACGCTACAACATCCATCCAACCCGTGCGTTTCTCCCCTGTTCATCTAATACGGTAGTTCATGTCGGCCCATGATCAAGTATTCGAAAGACCTATCTTCTTATCATTTTTCCGTGTTCTTTCACTTCTCCTACCTGTAATTTTGTGACTCGGCGACCTTGACTTCACTTGGTGAGAAGTTGGAAGTCCACCAGTCGCCTACAAGGTCACGACAGTCACAATTTCCAGAATCACCTTCTTTCTCCGTGGCCAATCCTGGGGCCTTTATTCTTCTTTCATCTCCTCTTAGTCCCAGATCTGTCGTCAGAACACCATCAAGAATCCGGGCTTGGAAGTTGATCATACCTCAGACTTCACTACAAGCTGGGCTGCCGCTGTCATTATCCGTCCCCGTTTCGAATTTGCGCAAACTTGGCCCCGCTTGTTGTCGGGCGTTAATTTAGTCTTGACATTGTTGCTATGTCCGCAGGTATGACAAAGACGTCTGCTTGAGACTCTGGGACAGATTAATCTAATGTTTGTCATGCGCGCAGATACACCACGTATCGTCCCTCTGACTTGTCATGGCCACTCGCGGCCGATAACACATTTGAGCTTTTCCTCCATCGTGGACGATGATCAGTACTACCTGATATCGGCTTGTAAAGGTAAGACTCCACACGCCCATGTTCATCTGTCTCTGACATTTACCAGACAACAATCCCATGCTCCGAGATGGCATGACAGGCGATTGGTATGGATGTCTGAGGATTACAAGTTGCTCTGCTGACCTCGGGAACAGGATAGGAACATTCATTGGACACAAAGGCGCTGTTTGGTCGTCAAGATTGTCTTCTGATGCTAGGATCGCCGCCACTGGATCCGCAGACTTTACCGCGTGAGCTCTGAACAGCACATATTTTGGTTGTTTTGCCCTGACAATATACAGGAGAATCTGGGATCCCCAGACTGGAGAGTGTTTGTATGTCTTGACTCATAACCACATCGTTCGCGCCGTTTCATTTCCAATTCAGACGAATCCGCAATGTGTCGCTACCGGTGCGCAAGATAAGACCCTCAAAATCTTCGATCTCAGTCGCGGGGGCAGCGCTGCTTCACCCGACCAGGTTAATGGCGCCTCTCCAGTCACCGCAACGACCACTTCCGAGGGGCATGAGATTGGAGCGGGTCAACATGGTGGTAGCATCAAATCGATTGTGTGGAATGTTGACTACAATATTCTCACCACGGCTTGCGAAGACAAAACTATTCGTTGGTGGGACTTGAGAGTTCAGCGCATGATCGCCAGTGTCAAGACAGAGCGGGACATTACTTCGTGTGAACTGTCCACCAACAAAGCAGAAGACAGTAATCCTGGAATTTTGAGTGTGGCAGCAGGCCAGTCCTGTCTCTTTTTCGACGCCGGCAGACCTGGAGAGCTTATCAAGCAAGTCAACTTCGACCACGAGGTTGCCAGTGTGGCCATCAACCCTGCAACTGGACGCTTTGTGACTGGTGGGGGCAAGGATACATGGGTCCGTGTCTGGGACTTTGCGCAGGAAAAAGAACTTGGTGAGCTTCAGCTGTCTTGGTATCCCGTGCTTAATCTAATCTTATCGCAGAGGTCCTCAAAGGCCATCACGGACCAATTTGGTCAACCGCGTTCTCCCCTGACGGCAAGATCTATGCGACCGGAAGCGAAGACGGAACAATCAAGCTGTGGAAGGCTTGTAAAGAGCCATATGGTCTTTGGCGCTGAGCCCAACGCAACCGCACCACCGAAAGTTGGCTCCGGCGCAAACTACGTACTTTCGAAACTGTGCGAAATACTCGGCTATCCAACTCCCGAAATAACACGATACTCACCAGGTCACATATACTGCTGGTGCTCAAACACCTAGCCGGTAAAGAGATGAGAAATGCGGTGTCCATATGGGAGTTTGTCCAGGATATTTAATCTACAACCATGACAAAAGTGACAATGGTTGGGCGGAATGACATAACTGAAGCGGACTGACTACGGGTGATGTTCAGGCACCAAGAAGAGTTGGTGGAGTGGAAGTACGTGCTATTGGGTATTTGGGGCACTTCGTTGGGTGTGTCCAAAACCCGGAACAATATCAGCAAACAACGAGCTTCCATCCCCAGAGCCGTGACCATTCAGGGACCAAAGGCTTGGGCCAGTGGTGGGGGTGATAGAAAGCTTGAACGCAGCTCAAAGTAGTGGGTAGGAGGTAGATTACTCGCATAAGACTAGAAATAACGATGAGCACATTCTCCCGAACTTCCTCTTGTCCCACATATTATTATGTACAGAGGCAGATTCTGATACTGGTTGAAGAAGTGTCCTGGTCACAAGGGGAAAGGATGCTCACGATGCTGCAGCTCCTTGGGGGGGCCAGTGGTGATTGCGGGGGTCTTGGTGCCAATCACAGGGACAGCCGAAGCCGATATCTCACACCGACATCTGCCAATCCCTCTAGGTACCATTGTTGACCTCCGTAGCGGCCAGTAGCCACCGAGAAGGCCATTGACCCGGGGTGCCGGGGGAAGTGAAAAGAGAGGCTGGTGAGGCTCCCAAGGGCTCCCAAGAAAGCTGTCGGTAAGTAGCTGCAGCCATCTAATCCCCACCATCCAATGCCCTGCACCACATATTCCCTTATATCACTCCACCACTTCCATTCTGGTCTTTTTTCCTCGCACTGTTGGCTTCTGACCGTCTGTCTGGCATTCGGGCTTAGCGAGGCAACTTGTCTGCACGCCGCGTGTGCCCTCAACCAGACCTGTCATTCGCTTGATTCACTCCCCCTCCGGTCCTCCCTCTCCTCCGTGGTCAACACACACCTCGCATTGGCTGCGCTGGTCGCTCGCCCTCATCACCCGCCCGCATATTGTTTTCCTCGGATTGATATACCCCCGCCTTGTCATTGGCATCGACCAGTCTTTCGTTCTCCGGACCAGGAGACCACGGTCTCGAGCTCAGTTTCCTATTCGAACTTTCAGCTTGGTGCATGTCCACACCGCTGGCTCACAGGAAGATGGATCGAATGAGTGTACCAGATCAAGAGAAACTCGAACAAATAAGCCACCTGACCATGGAACACCACCAACACAGTCAGTCGCCGTCGCAGAAGACGGCCTGGCCGAGATGGGAGCGCAAGGGCAAGGAGAAAAGCACCATCGCCTGCGCATGTACTTGGGTCGTGGATCACCAGATCAGTGAGAGCGTCCGCAATAAAAGAATGCCATAAAGCTTGCCATACTGATCTCTACGTTGACAGGCATATCCGTCAACCTCATATCTATGCTCTTCTTTGTACACATCCTCTTCCCCTCAGCCAGACATCATACCCAGAAGTTCTTCCGCATCTCCTATCACAATCCGGCGACCGGAAATTTTGCCCTGGGTTGGGACGACATATTCTTTGTATTTTACTGGATCATCGTCTTCACCGGCCTGCGCTGTGCTGTCATGGACTATCTCCTCAGCCCTTTGGCTGCTTCTCTCGGTATTCGGAAACGGAAGCCAAAGGTACGATTCGCGGAACAGGCCTGGATTCTCTGCTACTACACTCTCTCATGGTGTACGGGCATGTACATTATGTACAACTCCGACTATTGGCTCGATCTCCGCGCTCTTTGGAGGACGTGGCCTGACCGCGAAATGAAGGGCATGGAGAAGTGGTACTATCTGGTGCAATTCGGCTTTTGGCTGCAACAGATAGTGGTGGTGAACATTGAAGAGCGTCGGAAGGACCACTGGCAGATGTTCAGCCATCATATTGTGACCTGCTCACTAATCTTCACGTCCTACGGTTATCACCAATATCGTGTCGGAACCCTGTTTCTCTGTCTCATGGACTTTGCGGATATCGTCCTCCCACTGGCCAAGGTTCTCAAATATCTCCATTTCGAGCTTGCGTGTGACATTGCCTTTGGGTTTTTCATGGTTTCCTGGCTGATTGCCAGGCATGTTCTATACATGACTGTCTGGTACAGCATCTACGCCCACATCCCGGAGGAAATTCAATACGGATGTTATAGGGGAAGCGTGCAGGATCTTGAGGGTCCGATCCCTGCACCCAACGACTGGGACCATCTAATCCAACCATTCAAGAACCCGGTTGGACTCGTCTGCTGGAATAACAGCATCAAGTGGACGTTCTTGTCCATGCTTTTTGCTCTCCAGGTGATATTGCTCATTTGGTTCGGCATGATCGTTCGGGTTGCCTATAAGGTGATCACTGGTAGAGGGGCAGAAGATGTGCGTTCGGACGACGAAGACGAGGATGAGGACGAGGAAGTGTCGGATGAGAAGTCGTCGAGGGACTATATCGACAAAATGAAACTTTGCGTGGATCCCCAGGAACAATATCTGGAAACAGAGATTCTCAGCACGGATCCCAACTTTTCTCTTTCGAAGCCTTCCAGACAACGGACAAAATCACGATCAAAGTCCAAATCCACATCACCTGGGTCGTCGGCGGGTGGTAGACGTTCGACGCCGGAGACGTCCAGTGCGGGTTCCAGCAGTGGTGGAAGGAGGAAACAGAAGCATGAAGCTGCACATTCCTCGAGCGTCAACCTGCTTGGGGCAAGCAGTGATCGAAAGGAATTGCTCGGCCGCATTGGCTGTGATAAAGGCTCTGCGTCGGAGTGATCAAGAATTTGTTTCGGAAATGGTAATGATGACAGACAAACGCACTTGAAGAATGTGTACACGAGCCACCTTTATGGTAAAGTGCTGGCTATTTTTGGGTTCCATCCACCGACTATCTGTGTCTCCAGAGACTTTGCTGTGTTTTTTTGGTACCTGGTAATTCGACACAGGGCACCAGAACCTAGAAAGATCGTGTTAGAACTCCGGTGCAGCCAGCAGGGGTCTCCTTTGCAGCCACGCCGACCAGCAAGAGCGCGAACGCGATACATTGGCGGCGGGGAGGTGGTCGGACCAAAAGTCGATACCAATATCGACACACCACACACATACACGCAGGACAGGAGAAGAACCCAGCGAAGCGAGGCGGACACCATACGGATTGTACTCGGCACTGCACTGTACTGTCCTCGCGATGTCGCTGTCCTCGGTACATCCACAGAATTACTCGCAGGTCAAGGTATGTGGGCCAGCTGTGCATACAAAGTACGGCGCCGGAAGTGTTTCTTTGAGAGACCATACGAGGTGCAAACAAAATAGACGGGCTGGCGGGCTGGCTTGCTTGCTAACACACACTACCTAACCGTCCACCACGCCGATAGACCTAGGTATCTACCTACCTACCAACCCTAGATAGACAGACAGATAGATAGCTACCCGCCTATGTACCTATGTACATGCAGTACATACATAGATGGACGAATCCTATGACGCCGTAACGAGTCGACACGAAAGATTTCAATTCCTGTTCGCTCATCCTAAGATGTTCAAACGAAGGAAAGCATATGCGTCAAGCAAGCGTATATCTCTCGACTGAATCAGTGACGCTGAACCACCACGGAACACAGAGTTTGACTCTGTTGGTTCTATCCCAGAAACGGTCTCGGATTTGACTCTATCTGCCGTGCGACGATCCTAGAGATACAGGTTCCTTGTCCTCCGCTCCTATTCCTCTGCCTTCTGCTTTGCTTTCGGGCTCTCCTTCAACACAGTCCACAACTTCCGCACCAAATGCTGTAGTTTTACAAATATAGACCCTCGGGCTCGCCCTCGTTCTTCGTCTTCATTACACTGTCCCTTGCGCTCCGGAAGTCGGCCATGTTGACTCTCATTCTCCTCTCTCTCAGAGCCCTCAGCCCAGCTTCGGAGCAGATAGCCTTGATATCGGCACCACTCAAGTCATCCTTCTGGGCAATGAACTCGTCGAGATCCACATCTTCGGCAAGTGACATCTTACTCGTGTGGAGGGTGAAGATCTTCTTCTTGGTGGCGGTATCAGGGTTCTCGAAGAGAATTTTGCGATCGATACGGCCAGGTCGGATCAAGGCCGGATCCAAGGTCTCAATCTTGTTGGTCGCCATGATCACTTTCACATCGCCGCGGTCGTCGAACCCATCGAGCTGGTTGAGCAGTTCCAACATGGTACGCTGAATCTCCCGCTCACCTCCGGATGTTGATTCATAACGTTTCGTGCCAATGGCATCGATTTCGTCAATGAACACAATCGAAGGCGCGTTTTCAGCGGCGACTTGGAACAGCTGACGCACTAGTCGGGGACCATCACCAAGGTATTTCTGGATTAACTCGGAGCCCACAATGCGGAGGAAGGTGGCCGAAGTTTGGTTTGCGACGGCTTTGGCGAGAAGAGTCTTGCCTGTGCCGGGGGCACCGTAGAGAATAACACCCTTCGGAGGTTTTATACCCATCTCTTCGTACAACTCTGGATGCAGTAAGGGGAGCTCAACGGCTTCCCGCACCTCTTGTATTTGGGATTCCAATCCACCAATATCAGCGTAGGATTCTGTAGGTGCTTTATCCAGTTTCATCACGGATACCAAAGGATCGGCATCATCGGTAAGTACACCGACGACAGAGACCGACTTGTGATGAAGCAGGATCGAGGCGCCGGGCTCGAGAAGATCCTTGTCGACGAACGACATGATAGAGACGTAGTACTCGGGGCCAGTGGCGGAGGAGACAATAGCGTGGTCGTCATCAATCAGTTCTTCCAGATTGCCGACTCCCATCGGACTACCTCGCATGTCGTCGACCTTACTTCTTTCGTCTGAATTGCGATCGAGGAGTTCGCCGTCTGTAGCAGCAGCAGGAGCTTGTGTCTGAGCAGCTTTTGTTTTCCGGATCTGTTCTTGGTTTTCGACATATTCTTCTTCTAGTAAGAGATGGTCATGGACTCTTTGCATTCGAAGATATCGTAGCTTGCAACGGGCGGTTGGGTAAATGGTGGGCAACTTTGCGGCAGCACTTGGGCCTGCTTGCTTGCGCTTCTTGCGGCCGATTCTAGTGGTGGGCTGCGGAGGAGGTTCATACTTGGGCTTATCCTTCTGAGAAGAGTGTCAGTGAGTTGCCTTGGACCTCTGAACCTGTTTTACCTTCTTGTCCTTGTCATCTTTCCCTCCTTGACCAGGACCACCTCCCTGCTGTGATGATTGCTGGTTCCCCTACAGGATGTTAGCAGAGCAATAGACAAGGGTCGTTAAGGCATTCGTTCTCACCATAGCGCAAACGATGGAAGAGAGGATGTCAGAGGACTGTGATACCCCTGTAAAGAGTTGTTGAAGAGCGAGAGAGTTGAGATGGGGAGTGGCTAGATGAGACCGAACAGTTAATTACAGCAACTTGGGACGGATGCGTGACGATGCCTCGTCGCGCCTGTTCTGGTGCCAAGGCGTGGCTAGTGTTGTAGTGGCTGGAGCAATCGTGGCTGATCTCGCCGATTCGCCGATGAGGAGAGGAGGACTTTCTCCGATTCCCATCAGCTGCCTCATGCTTATGAAAGTGAGGCTGCGCTCCATCTCTTCGTAGGCCACAGACCAGGCAACACGTCCACGGTGGCTGTGTGACACACCAACCAGCTCTTCTTGCTGTATTGTTAACTGTCATCTTAGCATCTCGACTCATCGGCTGAGACTGTTCAGAGTTCGCATCCTCAGTCCACTCTACTACGGACTGCCACCCCTCCCACTCATCCACCCACAATCTACTTGTATTCGACGTGATTCTAGCTCACAGCCTCGTTCGTTCCTGTCCCTCTCTAAGCACTCCACAATATTCGATCTTCTTGAGCACCTTCTTCATACCTTCGCCAAAGTCTATCAGCCTTATCTCGCACCTCTCCATCTGACCCAGCACCGTCCCATAGAACACGACCCTCAGTCGCAACGGTCCGCCGCTTGTCCCTTCTCTTTTCTCGCTCTAGACGAACACAATGGCAGGTCACAAGGCAAGAAGGATAGCCAAAGATCTGGCGGATATTCGTGCGGACTCAACCTCTCAAATCTTTGCTGAGCCTATTGGGGATAGCATCACAGATTTGAGAGGATCGTTCAAAGGCCCTTCAGGGACACCGTACGAGGGTGGTACATACGAGGTCTCGATCAAGATACCTAATGAATACCCATTCAAGCCGCCAGTTATGAAGTTTGTGACAAGGATCTGGCACCCGAATATTTCCAGTCAGACTGTATGTTCCTCCACTCAACTGGCCACTCCTGGGTGACTGACAGATTCTGTAGGGCGCCATTTGTCTAGACACGCTAAGCACAGGATGGTCTCCCGTTCTAACGATCAAATCTGCCATGATCTCATTGCAGTCGTTGCTTAGCTCCCCAGAGCCCAAAGATCCCCAAGATGCGGTGGTTGCGAACCAGCTCATCAAGAACCCCAAAGAATTCGAGAGACAGGCACGAGAATGGGCGGTGAAATATGCCGGGGCTCCCAGGGCTTTCATCGGTGAAAGTAGCGGAGGGGCTACTGACAAGGACATCGAGGCGGCCGAGAAGGAAAGTCAGGAGAGAGAAGCCCAGGCCAACATTGCCGTATACGACGGCTACAACAAAGACCTAATTGACCGGTTTGTCATGATGGGATTTGATGTGGAGCGCGTAGTGGAGGCATTCAATTACGTGGGCATTGATAGAAACGGTGGCCAGGACTATGAATTGGAAGAGGCGTACATGGGCGACATCACGGCCAGACTGTTGGGCGAGCCTTAGGTGCGCTGATATACCTCAGAGCTACCTGGTTGTTCTATGCATAAAAAGCGCTGGTGTTGATATGGTAGGGTTCGACGACCACCTAGACGGTGGTTTCGGCAGGATGTACATCACGAGAATTATGAACCATATGCTGCCTTTGATATTAAAAAGAAAAAGCTATTGCGGGGGTAAGCATCATCTGTAAGGTCTGACGCTGTTTCAGCAACTCTTCACAATGTATTTAAGTGCTCCATGTGACGAAGGAGAGGCTAAGACTGCGTCTAGAATACAGCATTGCTTTCGTTGATATGATTGGGGGATTTCCCCAAAATGAAGCAGGCTGAAACTTCACACTCGACCGTCCTTATTCTGTGTCTCGACTCTCTACATACTACATCTCACTTCATAGACCACCCATCACTGGTAGATGATTCTCAAGCGAGTGAGATCCAACATTTTGAACCGATGATTGCATAGCATGTCAAATGATCACATGACGCCATGATTGAAGACGACGTCTACCGAGCCTCGTCACAGTACCGCTACTGGTCCTACACCAAGGAGTCCCTGGCTCGAATACGAGAGGAGACGAACAAACTCGCCTCTCAACGGGTGAGAGCTGCTTTTCGGCGCGTACATGTTGCCAATGGGTCGTCAGAGAATGGAGACAATCACAACGATGACACTCGTGCAGATCATGTCGAGATCGAGACTCTGACAGTAGCCGAGGAGCTTAAGATTGTTGAATGGGGATGCTCTAAAATTATGGACATGGGTGAAGCCATGAATCCGAGAATACCTTCACATGTGGTGGTATGTTGATAGCTCTCTTTTCATGTCTCTCACTGTCGTCTGTCTGACGAATTTGACTTGTTGCGTCCCCTCCTCCTATAAGCGCACTACTCTCGGAATTTCAGCGTGGGAGCCTTGTCTCTGAATACGTTGTATCTAGGCTACAGCGATTCAGTACCTCCGCCGATTCTACCTCACAAACTCGCCAATGACATATCATCCAAAACAAATCATGATGTGTGCGCTGTATCTCGCCACCAAGGCCGACCACTTCTACATCTCGCTGTCACGTTTTGTCGCTGAACTCAACAATGTCAGTGAAGACGACGTGAAAGCCCCCGAATTCCTGCTCTTGCAAGGCCTCAGGTTCACGCTGGACGTGCGGCATCCAATGAAGGGTCTCCAGGGAGGACACGTCGAGATGAACGTCTTAGCAGAGGAAGGCAGATTAGGAAGCAGCATCACCAAGGCTAGTGGGAGCGAGAAACGAGTCGGCGTCGCCGCGGACAAAGCGAAGAAGCTTCTAGCTACAGCGGCACAAATGACAGATGCCTATTTCCTCTTTACACCCAGCCAAATATGGCTTGCTGCGGTCATGATAGCTGATCGAGAGCTCGTGGAAGCGTACATCAGTGCCAAACTCGATGCTCTGCCACTCCTGGCCAACGGCCCTGAGGCCACCGCGGAACATTTCAAGCAAAAGTTAACGGCGACGATAGCTTCTTGTGCGACTCTTCTCGAGTCTTATCGAAGTTCCGACGACGACGCCGCCCAGCGCAAGGAAATGCGACGAATCGGCAAGAAATTGACCGTATGTCAGAATCCGGAGAAGATGGACATCGTGGCAGTAGCACGGGCAAAGGCGGCAGCAAAGAGGGAGGGGGCCGAGGGAACAGATGCAGAAAAGGCTCTCAAGAAGCGCAAATTGGAGCGGGAGAGGCTGGAAAGGGATGGAGATGTGTTTGGACCTGAATTGAGGGATATCAAAGGTTGAGATCAAGGAATGAGGAATGCTACTGCTACTGAAGCTGCACTCCTCTGCTGTTATAGATGTGCAAGCTATAAGCCATGGGCGTAACTGCTTGCCCCGATGACTGCTTAGCGCTGCAAAAGACCCAGAGAGTTGGATATCTGATATATTCACCTTACCAGGATGCTTGGTATAGCGACATCAACTTGGACGACCAATATCCTCGAATCGAATTAATAAGACCCAAAGGAATAGGGAACAGACATTTCTGCTCATCAGTCTCGAATCGGAAATTTCAGCGCGCGCCTGTCCCGCTTTGACCATTGGGGAGTTTCTGGTGTTACATCGATGACATGATTTTTTTTGGTTGATCTGCTACGGTTTGCGGATATATTTCCCTTTCAGTATTTTGACACGTGAAGGATCTCAACAATTGCGTATTGATTGCAAAAGCGAGACATTGATTGTCACGAACGAAGCATAGTATTTATAGTCACCTTCTTTGACAGTGCTCGCGGTATAGGTGACGGGAAAAATAAAATCATAGGAGCAGCTTTATACAAAAATGGCCGGAGGCAGATACAACGTCGGAATCATCGGATATGGCTTGAGCGCAAAGACCTTCCATATCCCCTTTGTGAACGCGGTACCGGATTTCAATCTCTATGCCATCGTGCAGAGAAGCCCGAAGCCAGACGATGATGCGAGCAAGGACTGGCCTAATATCAAGCCGTACAGATCGGTGGAGGAGATGCTGAAGGACGACCAGGTCCATGTCGTCGTCGTCACAACGGCGCCAGAGTCGCATCTTCAATTGGCAAAGGCGGCGCTTCTCGCGAACAAACATGGTATGTATTTTCTATCTTCGGTGAGATTACATGGACTGATTGATGGGTTTTCAGTGGTTGTCGAAAAGCCCTTTACACCCACGTCGGCCGAAGCACAGGAACTCGTTGATCTGGCTAAATCCCAAAACAGGATCCTCACCGTCTACCAGAACCGACGATGGGATTCGGACTTCTTGACGTTGAAGAAGTACATTCAGGATGGCACGTTGGGACGTATAGTCGAATTCGAGACTCACTTCGATCGACACCGACCGGAGCCGCCCCCAGACAACTGGAAGGCCCACCATGCCCCCGGGACTGGTGCGGTCTATGATCTAGGGACTCATCTGATGGACCAGGTCGTCAGCTTGTTCGGCATGCCGGAGAAGGTCACCGGGTTCGTTGGGTCACAGCGAGAAGTGAACACCACCGGATTGGAGGACTCCTGCACGGTGCTGCTCCATTATGCGAGCCCGAAGATGCTGGTCACGGTCAAGGCGGGAGTCGTCAGTCCAGAGGTGAGTCAACTGAGGTACTGGGTCCGAGGAGACAAAGGCTCTTTCAAGAAGTTTCACCTCGATCCGCAAGAGGACCAGCTTCGGAAGCAAGGTCTGAAACCCGGGGACAAGGGCTATGGCATCGAGAGCGAGGACAAGTATGGGACCTTGAATCTGTACAGAGACGGCAAGATTTCCAGCGAGGTTGCTCCGACCGTAGAGCCTGCGACGTACACCGAGTACTACCGACGTCTCGCTGCCGCGCTCGATGGGGATGTTTCTCAGATCCCCGTGGCCCCGGAGCAGGCTGTGGGTGTCATAAGGCTCGTTGAACTCGCTCGGGAGAGTTCGCAGCAGGGGAGGACTTTGACTGTGTGAAGGATTGCCCTATCTGGCTCAAAGCCCTCAGTAGGATTCGTGAAGGACGAGATAACTTCAACCGCAAGAGAAATATAATGCAGATTCTTCTGGAAATTCCCTCCTTTCCACTAATATGTACTTGGTAAGGCTGTGCGAGGCTGCGAGGCTGCGAGGCTGCGAGGCTGCGCCACGGTGAAGCATATCCCCGCACAGACTCTCTTTCCCGCACGAATATCTCAATGGAGAAGATTTGTCGAGGGAGTTACGCGCCATCCTTACCAGGTGCCTTGTCATAGAACGACGTACATCATCACTAGGTGCTAGGTCTGTACGAGGCTGTCTCTGGCGCCCTCGTCTTCCATGTCCAATGGATGCAACCGACTCCTTCGCGGCTCGGTTGGGTCCAGCCTGGTGTCTCCCTCCCTGAGACTTTGCACAGCTTGTTGCCAACAAGAGTTCTCTATCAGCCAGATCCTACGCCTGGAGAGATATAGAGTGGCAGAATCTAGATGCTCTTGCGAGCCCGAAGGCGAAGATGGACCTGGTGCCGCATCACCAGGCACCACCCTCGAACGTACCTCGAGAACCACGAAAAATACTTCGCGCAACTTCCTCCCTAGTCACCCTCTGACCGGGGCACATCATGTCTCAGGTCAGGATATTTCGCGCGGTTTGAACATCCGCATCCAGCCCTTCCACACCCGCTCTGGCTCGTCGCTCAAGGACTCTACCAGAGAATGCGGACCTACTCCGACTCTCCCCAGAAAGCCGCCGCCGCCATCACATCCGAGTATTGTCCCCCCGCCACAACCCAACCTTTCGAAGCGAACAAGCGTCCGATACCCTCCTTATCTTGGCATGGGCTCGTTCACTGCGGACAAAACACGACCCGGCAAAAGTGCCAATCCCGAGATATCTTTGCCCAAAAGCCCGGTCCAAGAACGTGAGCAGGAAAAAGAGCGTCGAAGGAGAGAGGAGGCAAGACAGCTAGAATCCGCACGACAGGAGGAAGAGCAGAATCGAATGGAGCAGGAGGTTCTGAAAGCCAGAGCAGAGGAACAGCGGATACGGAAACAAGAAGCCCACCGAGCAAGAACGGAGATTATTGCGCGCAAGCGAGAGGAATGGATGCACAGATCCCGCAAAGCTCAAGACCTCAGCGAAAAGATCGATGATTTCCCCTTAAACGACAAGGCCAGCATCGGTCGTTACCTGAAGCGCTGTCGTTTGCTGGAAAGAGCAAAGCACCTGGAGTCCCAACTTACAGAGTGGTACAGCGAAGGGGGTCTCAATGAGCGAACTAGAGACATTGGCAACTCCATCTACTTTGATGTGAAGGAGGTGCTGAGCGATGAGAATCTCGCGCCGATCCTGCGAGAGCTCAATGATTCCGAGCGCTACTGGGCCTACTTGCGGAACCCAGACATTGTCAAAGATGAGAAGCCTGGGGCGTCCTTGCCGACGCGGGTCAGACTCCGATTGTACGAGATCTTGTGGCTTCGCAACCAAGTGATTGACACGGCTTGGGTGATTTCAATGACATTGCACGATCTCCGACAAATACGAAGGCTC